GATGGATGGTGAAGAGATTGAGATTGTACACAGCTTTTGCTTGGCTCCATAGTCAACAGTCTTGGCACCAGCAGCCAGGAAATTAAAAGGCGCATTGCCTCATAGCCTAGGAATCTCTTATAGCCTTCAGAGAATGGGAATGGGATTATGTGAGGACCCCAGGAACAGATCCCTAGAGCAGCCTTTGCAAGGAGTCCAGAGGGTAGTGCCCTAGATGATCCATGAATCAGGGTGGACTGGAGGCCCAATGCCCCATTGGAGGCCTGGCCCCATTCCTGGGCCCTGTGTTCATCTAGAAACTCAAGGACTACAAGCCTTTTCTTTCCTACCCCTAAAAGACCTGATCCAAAGGTGGAAAAGACAGACAGCAGTGAATTAACTTACAGCCGAAGTGGCATTCTGAAGGCCGAAGGGATGCTAGAGGCATGATAGTGTTCTAAAACATAAGTCGGGCTTCTTTACGCAGAAACACGCTTTCTTTCTTCAAGGCTACCCATTTAAAATATCACCTTGCTTAAAATGACAATATGCTGGATCCTCTTATGCCAGTAATCCTGGAGAAAAGGTTAGGCTTGAGGGGGCAGGAAGACACTTAACTTTGCCTCCTTTTAAAAATGTTGATTAAGCAGGCTTTAATGAAGTTGTAGACCTTTTTGGCATTGCCAGTATATCCCACAGTCCTGCCCTGGGGGCGGGGGCAAGGGTCAAGTACCTCCATAGGTATCCTGTGCTTATTTCCAGGGCTGTAGCTGTGGCAGAGCAGGCCTTGTGCTCAGTGGAGTAATATGTGGGTGTGTAAAAAGAGCAAGGGCCATGTAGGGAGCACCATATCTGACCTTTATAAACTTCACAGAGGGAAACTATCCCCAGCTACAGCATCAAAACACAAAACCAATTCCTATGAGGTCAGACATGTTCCCTGTGCATGCATGCTCCCATACCTCTTTATATTCATCTCAACACCAGTCTTACTGCTTTTCTGAGTCCAAAATCCGATGTGATAGCTCAAAGACCACATAGGGAATCAAATGTTATGATGTGGTTGTTAGGTGCTGTCAAGTTGAGTACAACTCATAGCAACTCTATGAATAAAAGATCTGAACCCTGTTGTGTCCTGTGCCATCCTCACACTTCCTGACACACAAGAGCCTATTGTGGCAGAAGGTCTTCAACTCCTTCTCTGACCCTCCACCCTTCCTAGCATCATGTCTTTCTCCAAGGAATGTCCCCTTCTAGCAACATGTCCAAAGTATGTGAGGTGAAGTTTCATCATTCTTGCCTCCCAAAAGCACTCTAGCTTCACCCTCTCCAAGAGATATCTGTTCACTCACTTGGCTGTACATGGGATATTCAGTACTCTTCTCCAACACTACAGCTCAAAGGCATCAATTCTTTTTTGTCATCCTTATTTATTGTCCAGCTCACAGATGCAAAACAAATAATTAAAAGACCATGGCCTAGGTTCAGGAGGGCGGTGGCAGGAGGCAGTTAGCTGGTCTGCGGTGTGAATCCGCGTCCATCCGTCCTTTCTGACCCCGCACCGACTCAGCCGAGAGTGCCATGCCCGAGAACGTAGTCCCCCGGAGCGGGGCGCCCGCTGGGGCTGCCGGCGGCCGCGGGAAGGGCGCTTATCAGGACCGCGACAAGCCGGCCCAGATTCGCTTCAGCAACATCTCTGCGGCCAAAGCTGTTGCTGATGCTATTAGAACAAGCCTTGGACCAAAAGGAATGGATAAAATGATTCAAGATGGAAAAGGTGATGTGACTATTACAAATGATGGTGCCACCATTCTAAAACAAATGCAAGTGTTACATCCAGCAGCAAGAATGCTGGTTGAGCTGTCTAAAGCTCAGGATATAGAAGCTGGAGATGGTACTACATCCGTGGTCATCATTGCTGGTTCTCTCTTAGATTCCTGTACTAAACTTCTTCAGAAAGGGATCCATCCAACCATCATTTCTGAGTCATTCCAGAAGGCTTTGGACAAGGGGATTGAAATCTTGGTTGCTATGTCTCGACCTGTGGAACTGAGCGACAGAGAAACTTTGTTAAATAGCGCAACCACTTCATTAAATTCAAAGGTTGTCTCTCAGTATTCCAGTCTGCTTTCTCCCATGAGCGTGAATGCAGTAATGAGAGTGATTGACCCAGCCACAGCTACTAGCGTAGATCTTAGAGATATTAAAATAGTTAAGAAACTTGGGGGGACAATTGATGACTCTGAATTGGTAGAAGGACTGGTACTTACCCAGAAGTTGGCAAGTTCTAGCATAACCAGGGTTGAAAAGGCTAAAATTGGGCGTATTCAGTTTCACTTATCTGCTCCAAAAACAGATATGGATAACCAGATAGTAGTTTCTGACTACGTCCAGATGGACCGAGTGCTGCGAGAAGAGAGAGCCTACATTCTCAATTTGGTGAAGCAAATTAAAAAAACAGGATGTAATGTCCTTCTTATCCAGAAATCTATTCTAAGAGATGCTCTTAGTGATCTTGCATTACATTTCCTGAACAAAATGAAGATTATGGTAGTTAAAGATATTGAAAGAGAAGACATTGAATTCATTTGCAAGACAATTGGAACCAAGCCCGTTGCTCATATTGATCAATTCACTGCTGACATGCTCGGGTCTGCAGAGCTCGCTGAGGAAGTCAGCTTAAATGGCTCTGGCAAGCTACTCAAGATCACAGGCTGTTTAAACCCTGGGAAAAGTTACAATTGTTGTCCGTGGTTCTAACAAATTGGTGATTGAAGAA